AAAGAGAACTTCAGGAATGACTTAGAGGTGCCCGCAGCAATTGACTGAGTCCAAGAGACCTAAGTGGGGCAAGGACACTGACTGGGTGATAGGGTAAGCGATGCCCCGGAGGAGAATAAGAGCTATAGGTGGAACAGAAGACAAGGCTGAAGCAAGTGGTCTCAGGAGAGCCTACGGGAGCCTGCAGGCAGGGAGAACCCTTGCAGAATCACAGACTCTTACCTCTTGCAATTCCTGATCTTACAGGCTTTCAGGGTTCTTGTACCAGAGTTTCAGACAGGTGTAAAAACTGGCACCTCACCCTAATGACCATGCTGCTGTAGTTCAGAGACAACGAGAGGCAGGGTCAGCTCTGAGCACTGCAGGAAATAGTCAGGCTATGTGTGTAAGTATGTGGCCTCTCAGGCAACAAGGCTTCAATTGGTGCCCCAGGCTGTATAATCTTCTTTGGAGGAAAACAATGAATGAACACGTGGGTCATGGCATTCCTGGAAGCAATGGCACATCCTTACCAGCAAAAGGGACCTAGGGAACACATGCCACACTCCACCTCCACTGATAAGCAGTCACCAAAGACAACTGTCTAGACACAGCAACACAGATGGAACCTCAAACTGGATTCCACTGGAAGGAGACCCAGGCAGCCCTTCTCTATAGTTCAGGACCTCAAGAACAGACTCATAGTAGACTGAGCCCAAACACTCACAGAAAAGACAATGGAAAAGCAAGCCTAATTAGGATGGGTCCACATGCATCTTGGCCAGCATTTAGACATGGCCTGTGGCTTCCTGAAATACAGGCATTAGCCTTGCTTCCTCCAGGGGTCACTCAGTGGGTAGAGAACAGGGTGGACAGTCAGGAAATTAGCCAGCCATATGTAAGAGGTTTCTATGGATTGTGAGTTTCCGAGTGAGCAACAACCAGCTGACATGCCCATCCTTGGGGTTGGGGCACATGAGTCCACATCCTGCCAGCAGCATTTTAATGAAACTTAATAATATGGTTGCAAATCTCATCACTGAGGACAAGAGTGGTTACGAGCTGCAGCCCTGTAAAATAAAGATGCAGACAATGGCTGCTTTTGTGCCTGGGATAGGGGCACGGGCACACAGAGGCGAAGACTCCGTCTGGGCAGCTGCTTTCTGCCCCTCTATCAGTCATTTTCCTCACTGCTGCAGCAGAACACCTGGCAGAGGCAACTTAGAAGGAAGGGGTGGTTTTAACTCACAGGTTGAGGGTAGAGCCCCTAGTGGTGGGAAAATCGCGGTGGCAAGAACTTGAGGCTGCTGGCCACAGTTCCCCAGCTGGGAGCAGCAAGCTGGGGCTCATCTCACTCCAGGAGTGCAGCCAACAAGATGGTGTTGACCACAGCCGGTCTGCACCCCCAGCTAACCACATCTATAAACTTCCTCACAGACACACCCACAGAATAGGTGGTTTTACATCCTGGGAAGTTTATATTAATCATCGTGTCTCTACTCTTGGTCTATCACTTTTAAGCTACAGCCTTCTATACCATGTCTCCACGGCCATCTCACACTGCCAAATGCATTCAGCCCAACTTCAAAAGGCCCCAGAGTCCTTCACAGCTCCGAGACTGTTCAAAATGTGAATGTGTAGTCTCTTCTGAGACTCAGGCAATCTTAACGGCAAATTCCACATCAAAAACACAAGTTACATATTTCCAACATGCAATAACATAGCGCAAAAACTCCCAATCCAAAGGGTGGAGTAAAACATGCAAGAAATATTGCACCAAAGCAAAACTGAAAACCAACAGGGCAAAGACCAGAGGCTGTAGCTTCATGTCCAGCATGTTGAGCTCCTGATGAAATCACCTGGGTTCCAAAGGGCTCAAATAGCTCTGCCATTTAGCATAGGAGGATACAGAATTCATCGCCTCTTCCTGGGCCAATTCCATTTCATATATAAATCAAAGGGCCAAGAACCTCATGATGAGGAAGAATGTAACTGGGAGAAGGCTCTGCGATTAAAGCCTCACACCACTTCCAGGTCTCCCCACCATGGAGGAGCCTTGTCCTTCTGTAACTGTAAGCACAAAACTCTCTTCTATATGTTGCCTTCATTATGGTGTTTTATTGCAGCAACAGGAAAGTAACTTATACAGATTGTTAAAGAGAAAGCCCCTGCTATGTGCTGGGGAAATAGGAAAGTAATGTGGAAGAGTTTGAGACTTTGTGTTGTAAGCAGAGCTCACTGAGCCATTCTGTTGGAAATCTGGGAGACCAGAATGTCAAAAAAAAAAAAAAAAATGTGTACAGTGAATGGACAGCAAGACTGCATCACCTAAACTTCCAACAAAGAACACCACCAAATTGGGATCAAGTGTTAAATATCCAAGACTGTGCAACATGTTCTCACTCACACCACCACCTGATCTCCATCTCTTCAACATTTATGCTTCCTCCCACTTCACGACTTTAACCCACTCATATTTCTTCTTCATCAAACTTCATATTTTCATGTCTTTTTGCACTCTCTCTCTTTATGTCTCGATAAAAACAGTGAGCAGAAGCCAAGCCACAATCTGCAGGCTACGTTGTCTTGAAATTTCCTCCAAAACCATGCTGATCTGTGTTTTTATTTCACCCTCGCTTGAGTTCTCATGACACAGAATGAGGCCAAATTATTTGTCAGAATATTACTTCAGCACATCCAGCCCAGTTCCCAACAGATTCCTTGTTCCCCTGTGAAATTTCATGAGCTAGGCTCCCTCTATCTGCACTTCTCTTGACATTCTTGTCTTCCAAAAGCCCAACTGGATGACCCAACAAGCTCTACTTACAGTACAAAATCCAAAATTCTTCCATATTACTCCTGAAAATAAGTTCCAAAGGTCTAAGAGCCACAGGGTCATGAATAATCTTACTCCTGGCACCAATTTTCTCTATTAGCTGCCTGTGGAAAAACACCTGGGGGGGGGGTTTGGCTCACAGTTTGGGGGTGCAGTCCCTCACTGCAGAGAAGTCATGTTAGCAGGAGCCTGAGAAAGATGATCACATTACATCCTCAAATGAGAAGCAAAGAAAGATGAAACTACTGGTTCTCAGCTCACATTCTTCATTCTGTTCAGAAACCCTGCTTCTGGAATGGTCCTGCCAGGACTTAGGGAGAACTTTCAACCTAAACTAAATTAATCTAGTTCCTTCCTAGACATGCCCAGAAGTTTGTTTCCTCAGTGGTAGTAATCTTAGGCCCTCTTCAGTTAAGGCTATTAGCAAGCACATTGGGTAAGTGGACAGTGATCCTCAGCCCCTGTGCCCACAGAGTGACCCTCAGCTCTTTGTCACCTTGAACATTCCCACCAGGAAGGTGCATGGGTAGAATGGAATATAGAGATCCAGATGTCAGGCCAAGAGGCAGTCCCATGTGGTTTGTTGTATTAGGTGCAATGAGACAGAGCTCTAAGGAATTGAGACACCAGGAGAGCATTAACCTACCCAAGGAACCTCAGCAAGCACTATCCCTGATGGCTTAATTCCTTACTGGACTGCAGGAAGCGAACAAAAGCACCCTCTTGATGCGTTGTCTGCTGTCATAGGTGGACACATGGCCTAGAACCCAGCTATCATGAGGGAGCTTGTACCTATGTAACCAGAGGATGGATTCTCACTGCCCATAGTCAGATCTAGCCTAGAGAGGTGTGTCACATGAGCCTTACACCCTTCACCCTACACTAATCCAGGAGGACCACAGATACACCACATGATCCTCAAACCTTTCATCCCACTGCTGTGCCCAGGGACTGGAGTACCATATATACAACATCTGAGCCTCTCTCATCCTTCAGCCGTGTCCACTGGAGGACAACAGACAAGGCAAGGATATCTCACAGCACAGCACTAAGGCAGACAGCAAATAGAGAACTGATATATTGAAGCAGAGATCCCAGTCGGTCACTGCAGCCAGGGGGAACTTGGATGATGTCAGACTTATTTTGCATGGTCTGAGAAGCCACAAAGTGGGCTAGAGTGGCTTAGGGTGGGGGAGAGGCAGAGTCTAATTGATGCCTTCCATAGGAAATGGGCTGCAGGGCCAGGGAGATGGCTCAAGGAAGAAGGTGCACTTGTGTGCACAGCTGACAACCTGAGCTCAATTCTAAGATACCACTAGGTGACAGGAGAGAACTGATTCATTAAAGTTGTCCTCTGACTTCCACATGAACACACTAGCACACCTGTACACACACACACGCTTATTAAAAACTATAAAAAGAAATAAAATTTAAAAGGAGCTGGAGTTACAGTGCTAAGAGCAAACACACAGCTACTTCTGTCTCTATCCATCAACATCCTCACCTACCAGGGATGATAGAAGCTCACTGGTTTAGGTGGTTCCCAGCCATCTCCTTCTCTGCATCAGGCCCCACTCTGCCCCAGCCACTGAGAACTTCTGTCTCTGAACATGCCCCATGCCTCAGCAACACCACCTCAGATGCCCCCTCTGCTGGGCTTCCTGCTCACCACTGCAGCCCGAGTGAGGCCCCACTTTGGCCCATGATGCCCTGACCTTTATAACTTGCATGCCTTCTGCATCTCCAGGATGCTGTCGTTACTCCTGCTAGATTTTAGAACAAAGTTTAAAATAGACCCAGAGTCATACTGACCTTCAAGCACAGGGCTCATGAGAAGGTCTAACAAAGAAACTTTAGCCTGCCCAGGGAGAGCACAGGGCAGACTTTCAGCTCTTGTCTTAACCACTGCTCTATTGCTGTGAATTGCTACCATGACCATGACAAAAGTTTAGTCTATTATCATCATGGCAGGGAGCACGGCAGCATGCAGCAGGTGCTAGGGCAGTAGCTGAGAGCTCCATCTTGATCTAGACACAAACAGATTGAGAGAGACTGTCTATGGGTTTGTCATAGACTTTTAAAACCTCAAAGTCCACCCCTAGTGGCACACTTCAACAAGGCCACACCTCCTAATCCTTTCGAATAGCTCCACTCCCTAGTGACTAAGCATTCAAATACATGAGCAGCACTCACTTTGGCAGTACATATACTAAAATTGGAAGAATCCAGAAAAGATTAGCATGGCCCCTGTGCAAGGATGACAGGCAAATTCTTGAAGACTTCCATATTTTTGTTCAGAAAGGATGACGTCAAAGTATCACTATTTGCAAATGATATGACAGTATACGACCCCCAAAATTCAACCAGAAAACTCCTTCAACTGATAAACACTTTCGGCAAAGTGGCTGGATACAAAATTAACTAAAAAAAAAAAAAATCAGTAGTTCTCCTGGATATGAAAGACAAATGGGCTGAGAAAGAAATTAGAGAAACTACGCCCTTCACAATTGCCACTAATAACATAAAGTACCTTGGTATGACTCTGACCAACCAAGTGAAAGACCTGTTTGAAAAAATAACTTCAAGTCTCTGAAGAAAGAAATTGAAGAAGATATCAGAAGATGGAAAGATCTCCCATGTTCATGGATCGGTAAGATTAACATAGTGAAAATGGCCGTCCTACCAAAAGCAATCTACAGATTCAATGCAACTTCCATCAAAATACCAACACAATGCGTTACAAAACTTGAAAGAACAATTCTCAACTTCATATGGAAAACAAACAAACAAAAAAAACCCAGAATTGCTAAAACAATCCTGTATGACAACAGATCATCTGGAGGTATCTCCATCCCTGATCTCTATCTCTACTACAGAACAATACTAATAAAAACTGCATGGTACTGGCATAGAAACAGAATGATGGATCAATGGAATCGAATAGAAGACCCAGAAATAAACCCACATACCTACAGATACTTGATTTTTGACAAACAATCCAAACAATACAATGGAAAAAAGACAGCATCTTCAACAAATGGTGCTGGTCTAACTGGATGTCTACATGTAGAAAAATGCAAATAGATCCATATTTATCACCCTGCACAAAACTAAAGTCCAAGTGGATCAAGAACCTCAACATAATACCAGACCACTAAATCTGTTAGAAGAAAAAGTGGGGAAGAGCCTTGAACTCATTGGCACAGGAGACAACTTCCTGAACAGAACACCAACAGCACAGGCTCTAAGATCAACAATCAATAAATGGGACCTCATGAAACTGAAAAGCTTCTGTAAAGCAAAGGACACTGTCAATGGAACAAAATGACAGCCTACAGACTGGGAAATGATCTTCACCAACCCTATATCTGACAGAGGGATAATATCCAGTATATATAAAGAACTAAGGAAGCTGAAAAGCAGCAAACCAAGTAATCCAATTTAAAAAAATGGGGAACAGAGCTAAATTCTCTGTAGAGGACTATTGAATGGCAGAAAAACACTTAAAGAAATGTTCAATGTCCTTAGTTATCAAGGGAAACACAAATCAAAACAACCCTGAGATTTCACCTTACACCCATCAGAATGGCTAAGTCAAAAACTCAAGTGACAATACATGCTGGAGAGGATGTGGAGAAATGAGAACCCTCCTTCATTGCTAGTGGGAATGTAAACTTGTACAACCACTTTGGAAATCAATCTGGTGCTTTCTCAGACAATTAGGAATAGTACTAACTCAAGATCCAGCCATACCACTCCTAGTCATATATCCAAAATATGCTCAAGTACACAAGGACATTTGCTCAACCATGTTCATAGCAGCTTTATTCATAATAGCCAGAATCTGGAAACAACCCAGATGTCCCTCAGTGGAGAAGTGGATACAAAAATTGTGGTTCATTTATACAATGGAATACTACTCAGCAATTAAAAACAAGGAAATCATGAAATTTGCAGGCAAATGGTAGGATCTAGAAAAGATCAACCTGAATGAGGTATCCCAGAAGCAGAAAGATACACATGGTATATACTCACTTATAAGTGGATACTAGACCTATAAGACAGGATAAACATAATAAAATCTGTACACCCAAAGAAGATAAACAAGAAAGAGGACCCCGGGAAGATGATCAGTTCATACTGATAGGCAAATGGGACAGACATTGTAAGAGGGAGAAAACAGGGAACAAGACAGGAGCCTACCACAGAGGGCCTCTGAAAGACTCTACCCTGCAGGGTATCAAAGCAGATGCTGAGACTCATAGTCAAACTTTGGGCAGAGTGCAGGGAATCTTATGAAAGAAGGGGGAGATTGAGAGACCTGGAGAGGACAGGAGCTCCACAATAAAAGCAAAATAACCAAAATATCTGGGCCCAGGGGTCTTTTCTGAGACTGATACTCAACCACGCATGGAGATAACCTAGAACCCCTGCACAGATGTAGCCCATGGCAGCTCAGTCTCCAAGTAGGTTCCCTATAAGGAATATAGGGAAGTAAGTAAGGGGAATAGGGACTGTCTCTGACCTGAACTCAGTGGCTGGCTCTTTGATCACCTCCTCCTGAGTGGGAGCAGCTTTACCAGGTCAGAGGAAGACAATGTAGCCAATCCTGATGAAACCTGATAGGCTAGGGTCAGATGGAAGGGGAGGAGGACCTCCCATATCAGTGAATTGGAGAGGGGAATTGGAGCACATGAGGGAGGGAGGGCAGGATTGGGAGGAAATGAAGGAGGGGGCTACAGCTGGGATACAAAGTGAATAAACTATAATCAAAAAAATCAGAAAATAAGATACTTTTAAAAGAAACAAATACATGAGCAGTGGAGGCCATTCTTACTCAAACTACCACAGGTCCCTTGTGGATAGATAGAGAGGCAGAAGTGGTGTGCCGCAAGAGAGTGAGTCCAAGCTTGGCTGTCATCATCAAACTAAACTAAGAAACAGTTTTTCTTGTAGTTCAGCCTAAAACTAAGTATTTGAAAAGGACTTTTTTTTTTGAATTTTATTTTTTTCTTATCAGTTACATTTTATTAACTCTGTATCCCAGCCGTGTCCCGATCCCTCATTCCCTCCCAGTCCCTCCCTCCCCCCCTCATCTCCACCATGCCCCTTGCCAAGTCCACTGATAGGGGGAACCTCCTCCCCATTCATCCGATCCTGTTTTATCAGGTATCTTCAGGACTGGCTGCAAAGCCCTCCTCTGTGGCCTAACAGGACTGCTCCTCCCTTGGGGGGTGGGGAGGCCAAAGAGCCAATCATTGAGTTCCTGTTAGAAATAGTCCTTGTTCCCCTCACTATGGTTACTGAGCTACCACAGGCTACATCTGAGCAGAGGTTCTAGGTTATATCCATACATGGTCCTTGGTTGCATGTCAGTCTCAGAAAAGACCCTGCGCCCAGATATATTTGGTCCTTGTGGAGCTCCTATCCTTTCCTCATCAGACTAACTCCCCTTCTTTCTTATGATTCCCTGTACTCAGCCAAAGGTTTCTAGGTCAGGATCCCCCAGAAGAACAACAGGCCTCATTAGTTTGGGATATGGTGGTAGCCGCTTGTTCTGCCTGTAGCCTCTCTGTCTGGGGCTTTGCCATGTTGAATGGCTTGTTCCCAGTGGTCAGGGACAGACTCCCATCTATGTGACATGATGTTGATGCCCTGCATCATTAGCTCTTCCAGCTCTGTCCACAGTCCTGAATCAGGGTTTGAGGTCTCCAAGTCCTGCCTGTCACAGTCTCTCTGAGAATAGGAAGTTCCTCCCAACATGGATGAAGAAGACTAGAAACATGTTGGAGGGTGTGCATGTGTATGTGTGTGTGCATTTATGTGTGCACATGTGCATGCATGTTCTTGTATACACATGCTTTGTACATACAACGGTTTATATTTTAGTGATTCCTTTCTGAATCAATGAGACAAAGAGAAAATACACAAAAGACCTGATTAGCCTGTGGCTGACAAAGGAACTGAATAAAAGTTGCAACCCCAGGAGGGTGTAAACCCTGATATTTTAAGTTCACAACTTCATCAGCTGCTTTGGACACAGTGGTAAAGATCATCAATGGGCGCCACACCAATACTGGGCTCACATAGACACAGCAGCTGAAGAGAGTGCAAGTGGCCATGGGTGAGGAGGCTGTAAGCCAAGTGGGCCTTGCCCCATGAGATAAAAAGCTGTGTTGCCTTGTTAGAGGGCAGACTGACCAGGTGTGAGCTGCCCTTCCCACACCACCCCAATACAGATGCTGAAGTGCTGACCAGCAGCATAGGCAGGAATTCTGGGAGGAGATTCTCGGGGCTCTTTAGAGCCCCCCGCTGTTCTCCTTGCCCAGCACCATCACCCACGGCTGCACAGAGTCTTGCAAAACCTCAGCACTCTCAGGCTGGTCCACGGGGGAGAGACCCTCCCAGCAAGTGTCTTAATTAACTAAGGAATTTCAGCTCTGCTCTCTGCTGCTTCGAGGAAGCAGGTAGACAAGCAGTGTGCTCTGCATCTCTCCGGGATGAAGAGAAACCTCTGAGGCTGTCGGGTTGTCATTCACAGGGAACACTGGCATGTACAGTTCAGCTTCCTTGGCATATTCTCCAGATCTGCGTGGCCTGACCATACTTAAAAATCATAAAGCGGTCATCCATGATGCTCCTCATTCCATCTTGATCAGCCACCCAGCCAGGCCTGCCAGAGCCATCAGGACATGCAAAGCAGGGGAAAGGAGGGAGTTGTGGACAGCTCCCTCCTTTCCTGATGCTTCGTGCATGCTGGCTCCAGAGGATATGCAAATACAGTCACAACAGCAAGAACACAGGAACACTTAACGGGGATGCTTTCCTGTGATTTTTTAAGTTCCTAGAGAGCTCTGCCCTGCAGACACCTGGAGGATCCTGATGTAAGTCAGTCACTATGGCCACCCTTATCCCTTCCCCATCAAGAGCCTCCACCACCTCCTCCATCCAGCTTGGAGAGGGTGTACCCTCCCCCTCACCCAGCCCCTGCACACCCAACAGGCAACCATCATATCCTGGGGCATCAGAAAGTCATGAAAGTACAGTGAGCGTCCATCCTTTTCACTTTAAAAAATAATAATAATTAACAACTGTACTGCACTGCTGGTAGAAGGCTGGAGGTATGTTGCAACAGCAGGTGAGTTGTGTCTTTAGTCAGATTGTTCCCACACCAACCAGGGCACGGAATGAATGTGGAAGCTGCACCAGGGGACAAGGGCACAAGGCAGCAAAAGGAGCAGAGACAGAGGAAGTTGTTGGTAGAAGATTTCAGAATCCTTAGAGGGAGGAGT